GAGAAAGACAAAATGAAACAAGCAGCAGGGCTGCTGACAAACTTGTTTCTTTTTTCCCTAAGGGGGGAGATTTTCAAAGGAGCCCACCTCATTCAAAGTCAATGGGAGCCTGGTGCCTGACTCCAATGTGTGCCTTTTGAAAATCTGCCCCCACTACCCGTTATCATGCATCTGGAGAGATTTGGGATCCCATATTGGATCCACTGCCTGCAGTTCCAGGATCCTAGTTTAAATAGAAAACAGGCCTCCTCTTTTCTGAAGGTGCCCTGCCTTCTTCTTGTCTAGCAAATGCACGAATAGCCCAGGGACAGTAGCTTTTGTGGTCCGGTGCCGCAGATTCTAATTGTGATTCTTGCTGCCTCGGGTTTCGGTTTGCTGAGAGAAGTGGCAGAGTAGGACTGTGAATGACAGGCTTATAAAATTGTTACTGGTGCCCACAACAGCAATATCCATGGGATCTGTAACTGGTTCAAGAAACAGTTGTTCATCTTGCAGCTGATCAATGCTCTCTCATTAGTAGTGCACATTTCTGCTGTGGCTTGTATGATTTGTCAGTGAGTGGGAGGGGAAGAGTAAGTGAATGTCCACAGACTGGGGCCTTTCCCGCAAAAGAAATCCTCAGCATTCATTTAAAGGGGGAAGGCTGCAGCAAAAAGCATCTCCGACAATCACATGTAGCCAGGGAAGTTAGGCAACAGCAACATGTGACGCTCTTACAACTTGCCCAAGTGTTTAATGCTGACTCCAGGAGTTTCAAGCTTCCTCTTCTCCTCCACAAGCAGAGAAACCTCAGAGGATGAAATGGGCGGATGTTCCAGGGGCTGATTTGCATTGTGCAGCAGGAAATGGGAACCCTTCCAAAGAAACTAACTGAAGGGGGGGAGGGGAAGACAAATAAGCAATTTCTCGACTCCTGAAACAGGATTGTCAGCGGAGCCACACATCACAGAGAGATGACAGAAGTCTCAGGTTCTTAGCATCTGTCTTGTACCAGATTAGCTTTCATAACATTATTCTTGGATTTTGCAAATTATCAAACCTGAGGGCCTGGTTTCAGCGCTTCCCGGCCACTGTACTTCAAATGCTAACTGAAAAATAAAGGGATCAGCTGCTGGTTGCAGTCTCTTCAGTTCCTTGTGGAATGTAGCATCCCCAGTGGCAATATAAACCGAGACCCCCAGTGCATCCCAGGAGTTACCCTTCCAATATCTCCAGAGAGAGGTGCTCTGAGGTGAGAGCAGTAGCCTGGGACCTGGGAGATTTGGGTTCAATCTCCTGCTGCACCACAGACCCCCAGGTGTGACTTTGAACAAGTCATTTGGGGTCTCGGTGTCTCAGATACCCATGTGATAAATAGGGATAATAGTGCTTCCCTAAAGAAGAGGATAGTTGTGAGGATAAATACATTAAAGATTGTGAGGCACTCACATACTAGTGTAATGCAGGCCACGTAAGCAGATAAATAGACACGTAGAAATAGCCTGTGTCTACACAGGGAATTCGCCCCAGTTTCAGCAGCCAAGGTATCTGTACCAGTGTAGACAAGGAAAGCCTTTGTATGGGTGCAATGATTTGCATAGGTGCATGAAATTATTTATATGGGTCCAACTGCAATAGTTGCTTAGATTGGTGCTAATTCCTATAGACCAGGCCTGAGAGAGCTTTATGAATAACTGTGCTTTATCCTCTTCTTTTGACCTTTCCCCCTTACTATCATACCGGGTGGCAACCAAAGTCAATAGAAGTACAATCATCTCTGTGAAAAGGGCATGTGCTCTTTTTGGAGCAAACCTATGGGATCAGACGTTTACTCAGGGTCCAGGACTCGGCTCAGAGAAATGGTGTGCGTGTGACTCAAACTCCACATACGATTAGCCAGGCCCCTCTGCAGTCAGCAATGAAACAATTGACAAGATTGCTATCTGAACAGTCACTAGAGTCAGCATCCCAGTGAGAGGACAGCATTGGGGCCAGATCCTTGGGCTCATGTAGATTAGTACACGTCCATTGACTGCAGTGGAATTACACTGATTGGGGTCAGCCGAGTGTCTGGCTCAGCATTTCTGTTTATTTGCAGATTCAGTGATTGTGTGTACACTAAGCATAATTACAAAGCAGTTCCTATCAGGGCTACTGGTGGGAGCCTGACCGTGGGCAAGGCTCTGGAGGGCAGCCTCCTTTTTATAATCATTTTTTGTTAGACTTTCTTCAAGACTTTCTTCAGCTAAATGGGGATGTTGACTAGAAATGTATCCAGCTGCAAGAGCCTCATTATGCCAGGGTCCTGTTGGTGCCAAAACCAGTTGGAATATTTTGTTGTAAACCTTGCCCAATATAGACAGGGCTGTAAAGACAGCATTGGATTAGATTTCCTTTGGAAGATGTTATTTTGAACCATTAGACTCTAAACTGTTTGGACCAGCGCCCAGCACCAGGGGGTTCTTGTTCATGACCAGGCTCATAGGCACTATGAGAATACAAATAAATAATAATAATAATAAGAGAGCTACAAACCCATATTTTAAAAAATGGAAGTTCTGCCTTGTGCCAAAGCCCCTGATGGGGCTGCAGGGAAAGTGTTAGGTACTGGCTCAAACCTTCCCCTATCCTACTGTACACGGCCAGTACAAAATACAGAGTAAGGCCAAGACTTTCCAAAGCAACTAGTGATTTTGGGGTATCTCAGGTTTTGGGTGCCCAGCTTCACACAAGGGTCCCAATTTGCAGAAAGGACCGAGCGCTCGGCCTCTCTGCCGTGTCTCAAGTTGGGCACCCATTAGTTACTTCTGAAAACCCTGGCCCTCTGTTATTAGTGGCGGACCACACCATGTTCAAACCCGGGAGAATTAGTGCTTAGCACTTCATTCTTCAAAGTGCTTTTACAAACCCTGCTCAGAACACCCCAAGTGGTGGATAAGGAAGTAACACCTCCATTTTATAGGCTGCAAACCTGAGGCAGAGAAAGAAATGATCTGTTAAAGACTAGGGGGATAGAGGTCAGAACCAACTAAGATTTGATCTGCCGAGCTCCTGGCTCCAGCCCTGTGCACAGAGAGGTAACACAAAACACACAGTTATGTAAATGATATCCATGTGATACACTGCAGCGCCACGTTACTATTTGTTATGCAGTTTGAATGCCTTACCTGCACTGTGCCCATGGCTCCATCTTTCTGCTTCAGGCCTCTAAGCTGCTTCAAACAGCTACCATTTAAAAACAAATAAAAAATGAATGGCCTGCAAAATATTTCCTCCTTTCCCTAGCCATGACATTTCTCCCACAAAATTACATGTGAAATAGGCAATACCCATTCCTAGATCCATGATGGGTTAAAAGTAACTCAGACACTTCCCAGAACTATCAGTGGGAGCTCTTTATACCCCTGCTGATGAGACCTTTATACCGTGAAGCCAAGAGTCTCTCACCTCTCTTCCTGTTTCGGATGGTTTGAGGCTTTTGTTTCTGGCCCTGGTGTTGAAAGGTATTGGATTTACAGGCTTAGATTTAATTGGGCATCCAACTCCCATAGACTCCTTTGAAAAATCTCACACTAATAACCCAACCTTACCATCTATGGTAAGAAAGGATGTGGACAAACTGGAGAGAGTCCAGCAGAGGGCAACAAAAATTATCAAGAGGTTGGGGCACATGACTTATGAGGAGAGGTTGAGGGAACTGGGCTTGTTTAGTCTGCAGAAGAGAAGAGTGAGGGGGGATTTGATAGCAGCCTTCAACTACCTGAAGGGGGGTTCCAAAGAGGATGGAGCTCAGCTGGTGGCAGATGACAGAATAAGGAGCAATGGTCTCAAGTTGCAGTGTGGGAGGTCTAGGTTGGATATTAGGAAACACTGTTTCACTGGGAGTGTGGTGAAGCACTGGAAGGGTTACCTAGGGAGGTGGTGGAATCTCCATCCTTAGAGGTTTTTAAGGCCCGGCTTGACAAAGCCCTGGCTGGGATGATTTAGTTGGTGTTGGTCCTGCTTTGAGCAGGGGGTTGGACTAGATGACCTCCTGAGGTCTCTTCCAATCCTAATCTTCTATGATTCTATGATATGAACATGCTCTTTCAGGGATAATTTGTAGAGGTTTCAAAAATGAATTAGGTAGATGATTTGTCTCATGCCAACTCTTGTAGATTTAGAATCAAGATGCGAACAGGGCCAGGCTTTTCAGGTAGAGGAGTGTGAAAAATAGCACTAATTAAACTCTGTAAAACTTCCCAAACTATTTCTAACTATTTTCTGTAAAAATAAGAATACCTGAGGGTATGATGTGCTGAAAGGCTTTATTGGCCCTCATTTGGCCACTTTTAAGTCAGGTGGTCCTCCTGACCTCAGGGTGAGAAAGCCTTTGCACCACAGCATTATGTCCATGCTCATAGTTTGTAAAAGAGAGGTGATGGCAAGTTTTGTGCAGTGGCCACCTTAACTCCACCATAATCAAGCTTTTTGTAAATGATGTGTGTGCTTGTTTAAGTAAAAGCCAGGTGTGCTCCACTGTACAGGGAGCCAGAAAAACCTCTAAAAATGACCTAAAGTAGCTAGAGCAGTGCTTTGGATTGGGGTAATTTTGGGGGTGAAATCCCACATTTGTGTGAAGAAAGATTAAACAATTCTCTGGAAATGTTACTTTTTAAAAAACTGATGGCTACCTGAAGCTGCTCAGAGGTTTGGCTTGTTAGAATAATTCCATGTGGAGACAGATTAGTGGGCAGAGTGCAGGTGAGGCAATCAGAAAGTGCACCGGACACTCTTCCTATGGCTCTGCAGTTTATTACATGCATTGCATCACAACGTAGTTCCAAAGCTGGTCTGTACCGCAGGAGTAGGTTTATCTCGTTTCTTTGTGCATGACCACTTTGGTGTGTATAAATGTTATCTCTGAACTGTTCTGGACACAGAGAGATTACCATGCCTAGCCTCCTGCCGCAGCTGAGGGTTAATGCTGAGATGGGTTTCTAATGATGGTTTCTTTCCCTCCCTCCCCGTCCCCCCTGCAGACATGCCTTGAGTTGGAACGTTATCTTCAGACGGAGCCAAGGAAGATCTCAGAGAACTTTGGCGAGGATTTGGACTGTTTCCTTCACACCTCCTCTCCTCCAGGCTCAGAGGACAGTATCCGACGGCTGGACCCCATCCTGTTTCCAGTGGAGACGAGTACATGCGACAAAAGCACCAACATGGACCTTATCCTGTCACGAGACAAACTGCTGTCTGCGACGTGCCTCAGCTTGCAGCCCACCGGCTCTTCCATAGAGGGTTACGCTGCTGTCAACCAGGCCCAACTCAACGCAGTGACCTCATTAACGCCCCCTTCCTCTCCTGAGCTCAGCCGCCATCTGGTAAAAACCCCACAAACTCTCTCCGCAGTGGACGGCACGGTGACATTGAAACTGGTGGCCAAGAAGGCATCGCTCAGCTCAGTCAAGGTGGGAGTGGCGGCGGTGGCAACAGCAGGCACGATAAAGAGTGGGCAGAATGACGGTGAGCAAGGAGGGGCAGGGGCCGAGGCATCCCCGGAAAACAAGAAGAGGGTTCATCGCTGTCAGTTTAACGGGTGCCGGAAGGTTTATACAAAGAGCTCCCACTTAAAGGCTCATCAGAGGACTCACACAGGTACTGGTGTAGGATGCCTCTCTCTCTCCTTGTTCTCCTGCCACCTAGCCATTACGGTCTCCTTTTATTTCTCTTTTTTAAAAGCCTTCCTCTCTTCCCAAAAGTCAAAGCCTCTAGCTATGAAATGGGGGCCGCGGTGGAAAAATGCTGTAGGCCTGCATCTGTGTCTGAAGAGAAGGGGGAATTCATGCTTTACCTGTTGTTGTCTTATGTGTCGCTGAGATCTGCTTACCGGGTTCTGGTGCAAAATCGGTGCAGGTTGCCTAAGGGAATGGGATGCCCAATTCCCATTCAAATGGTTGTTACTGAAATATGGGATTTGGATGCCTCGTTCCCACAGGTGCCTTGTAAAATTTTAATTTCAGTCAAGTCTTATTTGGTTGAAATGGAAAATATTGTAGGTAACTTTAAAAAAAAATCCAAAGATTGTATTCTAAATCTGAAAATATATATATATAGAGAGAGAGAGAGAGAGAGAGAGAGAGAGAGAGAACTGGCTGGATACACTCATAAATTCTGGCTCTGTTTGGCTGCTCTAGTGATGCAAAGGAGCCAGAATGTACTGGTGAATCTGAGCGCTGTGTGTGGGTATGGGGAAAAGGGAACAAGAGATTAGGCTGTAAAGAGGGAGATTAGGTGGTTGTTTTGGGGAATATTTAATAATGGGGTGTGTGAGTTTCACGGTCTAAGCTATTTGCAGCATACCAAATTGGCTTAGATTTGGCGATTGAGAACCCACAATCCCCTGTCATCTATTTATAGTCCCTAGAAGCTTTTTGGTTGCAATATTCATTGACAATAATAACTGTGAAATCGACTAGTATCACTGCTTTGTTCTAAGCTTCACATGTGATAGGCGACAATAAATTCCCATTAGCACTATCTTATCATGTGATTATTCTCGTTTCCAGAGGGATTGCTGTAATCAGTTTCTTCAATTTTACATGAAAATGTGTGGCCTCTTAACGATAACTGCACATTTAATTCACGATTGTATTGTACAAGCGGATTCCTAGACGCTAGGTTGGTCCTGCAACGTGAAAAGAAGCACGTTGGACCAGTGCAGTAAATCAAACATATCTGTGGATTGTTGAGAGCTGCATCCATCTTGCTCTCAGTAGCATTTAAGAAGTTACATGGTGTAAAACATAAATCGTAATGTAAAAATGGATTTTTTTTTAATCATTAATATGGGCATTCTGAATGCCCCCAGTGGTGGGAGCCATGTTGCCACAAGTAACCTCACTTGTGATTCAGCCAATGAAGGAGTAGCCCCATCAATGTGCGCTTGAGCAGGGGGGTAAATGTTTTACCACCTCTGGCATTAGGCTCCATTTTGAGAATACTTTGCAGTAAGACAGATACCTGTCACCACTGTCAGACTACATATATCAGTCAAAACGCTTACACTGGAGAGAGTGCCCCCACCAGAACCATCAATGTTAAGCATGTGTGTTTCAGATTTGAAACCCTGATCTCTCCAGAGCCAAAGCCACTGTAGCTTCTGCTCTGAAACCAGAAGTGAGCTATCTTCTGGATCCACTTCAGATGTCACACAGGTTGGCAGAGAATGAGACACATTTCACAAGAAAGGGCTGACCTCATGAAATTTTCAATATCTAAGATTGGGGGACTTGCAAAAGTTACTGATCTTGTGAAATTTCCACTGTTTGGAATCAAAATCTTGCAAGAACAGCCCACCGTGTTTTTGATGCTTTTGAAGTACAAGCCGTCGACCTGGTTCAACATTAAGCCTGAACTCCAAACCTGTAGCCAACCAAGATCATTGCCTCAGCCCATCTGTATTTCAAATGTTTTATAGTTTATAGGTGGGGAGAAGTGTTTCTCACTATGGCCTTGAATCTGGAGAGCCTTACCTGTGCTGAATAGAGGTCCTAGCCCACAAATCATCCCACTGGCTTCAGTGCGTTTACTTGTGGACTGAAGTGCCAATAGGTGTAAACAAAGATATCAGAATAAGATCACAGATTATTTCTTGGCTTTCGGAAGAGGTCCTACTTGGCTTTCACAGAGAAAGGCCAGTGACAGAGGTGGTTCTGAAAGCATGAAGAATACCCAGCTGCGGAACTTTCTCCACGAATGTCCTGCCTATGCTACAGATAGAGCCCTAGTGGTGGACTCAGTTACATCACAGCTGTCCCCAGGAACAGTTGTAAAGCACAGTTCTGTTGTGCCGTCGCGGTGGGACACCTCACTTCATTTTAAGAGCAGTGTGAAAGCCGTGGGCATGGTTTGAGGATCACTGCATTGTAACAGGATCTCCTTCCACGACTGCATATGTAGTATGATCAGGAGCTTAAATCTGATCACTCTGAACAACAAAGCTAACACAAGGAGAGAGTCAAACTGCCTCCAACACAGAGACAGTAAATGTTAGAGGGGAGTGGCTTGGGAAATTCTGGGCTATATATTGTACACGGCTCAAGCTGTCTCCTCCCAGCCCCAACACCCAAAATTATAGACAAGAAGCAGTCATCTCGCTTGGTTCTTTGTTTTCGCATGCAGCCTGCTTGGATCTGTCGTCGGTATAATGTTGTTGTTGATTGTGAATTTGGCCGACAGTGCCAATGGCCACTAGCCACTTGGCTCAGTCAGTAGCTGAACTAGGGGATCTGAAATGATTGCAAGATATTTTACTTTGGCTGGTAGCTCGCTTGTGAGTAATACAAGAGCCATTTGCCAGTTACTGCTCTGTGCAGAAAGGGCAGGATGGCGCTTACAGACAAAGAGTTCTCAGTATGGGGTTCAGACCAAGCAGAAGGAAGATCACTCAACTCGTGTATAAAGACAACATGCCGGATCAAAAGGATTCACTCCTTTCCATGAAAATTAAAACCATGTGTGTTGGGGGAAGACTTTTATTCCTTTTCGTTTGTATGTAACGCTGACCGGACACTTGGCTGGCTTTATTTAGTGTGTGATGATCCAAACGGAGCCAGGCATGCTACAAAATGATAGCAACCCACTAGATCTGACTTTTTCTTATATAGTGTGTTTATATAAGCAGTAACATTTAGAGGTTTCCTGTCAGGATCAGGGTCGCAACGTGCTAGGTGCTATACAAACTCCTATTATTCTGCTGCACCATATGTAAGATTCAGGAGATTATTATATGGCACGCTTGATGCAAGATTTTCACTATGAAATCATCAGCCTTTGGAAAGGGATGAACAACTATCTGTATAGAAGAGAACTTAATTTGGAAGGGACAGTATAATCTGAACAAAACAGAAGGGAATGGGAAATACGGAGTAAATGGAGAAATTAAAATGGAGGTTGTACAGACTGAAATGGGGGAAGCCAAGCAGTGGGTAGGCATACGTGTGTGACAATGAACTTTATATGGCAGGAAAAGGTGAGCTGGGTGTCGGGGAAAGTCGTGCAGCTAATGCGGGAGTGAGGTGTGGAATCTAAATAGAATAAATGGAGTCGGGCTGGCTGCAGATGTAATCCAACCATAACACATTCAATTGCACTTAATCACATAGCAGACATCAGCGCAATGACAGTTTGTTTCTTTGGGAAACAGGGATTTTAGCCCAGTCTTAAATGCATGGAGCTGAATTACCAATGTAGCGGGGAGCAGAGGGGGAGCTAATTGGAATGCTCAAAAAAAAAAAAAAAGTCATCAGCCGCCTCCTAAATTAGAAGGCAGGATATTGCTGGCGAGGGTCTGAGCTGGCACATGACCTAAAGAAGGGTTAGTCACCACGATTCATTTTGACCCTAAGCTCAGAGGCCAGTGGAATAGAGGGCCTATAAAGCTTGTCGTATTGGACTTACTTGTACTAATATGGGGTGGAGGGGGGAGTATAATAATGGGATGGAGTCTTTCTGGCCAAAAATAAACACCACTGATGGACTTGCAAGGAATATCCTTACGTTGGGGATTTTATTCAAGATGACCCTCTGATAGGTCCTGCTTGGGACTCCTTTGAGTGTCTTTTGGGATGTTCTGGGGACTTCAGGATTTTTTTTTTTCTTTTTAAAATTGGAATCTGGTGAAATCTAACTTCCCAGTGCTTTCATTTCCCCAGGTATCTTAAGGGCTTTAAGCAGTAGCCTGTCTCACGTTGTCTTCCCATTTTACTATATAGTGTCTTTTATCCAAAGTGCTGGGTAAGAATAACCAAACCCAAACAAACCAACCACTTGGTGGTCCTGCAGGAGAACAAATTATTAGAGTTACAAGAAAAAGAAAAGGGAGACATCAGGTCATTAGAAGCAGCATTAAACAATAGGAAGGGATAAAGGCTTCGAGACGGGATTTAAGATAACAATGGGAAAGATATTTCCAAAGAGGAAAAGTATAGTATTTCGAAATGGCAAGAGAAGAAGGAATAGTGGTACGAAGAGAGAGAGGTAACGGGAAGGAATAGGAAGTCAGGGAATAACTGGGGAAATAAGATGATTTGATAGCAAGACCAGTGATAGCATTAGCGTGTGAAGTAATATCTACATTGTACAAATGAGATAGTGCAAGTGGGTAGGAAGCCAGCCAAGCAAGAGGAGAAAGATATGAACAGCCAAGCAAAGCAAATTGGGGGAAAGAAATTTGGAAGAGCTGCACAGACAGCATGGAAGAAATCACGACCGGAGATGGCCTGCCTTTGGCCCAGGATTACTGCTGTGCCAAAAGAAAGAGTCACGGCTTTATGTGATGTTTAGAAGATAATCTGCAGGGGTTAGCAGCATGAGAAGTGGAAGGGCAGGAAGGGAGTCCTTGGTCACAGATAATTCCAGGCTTTCCTATGTGTGACAACAGAAACAGTAGGCGCACTTAGCAGGAGGAAATCCTTTCTGGGTTAGATTTACTTTGGGGTAGTTGGGTGTATTTTTGCATTGCTAAACTTGAAGGGTTTTTTTTGTAATTTGAATAGAAGTGAAACTAGAGTTCATCTAGACTGATTAAAATGAGCCTAGTCTGGGTTTTCCCTTCCTGAGTCTGTTTAATGTTCAGCTAGTTTTGGAAAAACTTT